ATTTATTTATTTGAGAGAGAATGAGATAGAGAGAGAGAGCATGAGAGGGGGGAGGGTCAGAGGGAGAAGCAGACTCCCTGCTGAGCAAGGAGCCCGATGCGGGACTCAATCCTGGGACTCCAGGATCATGACCTGAGCCGAAGGCAGTCGCTTAACCAACTGAGCCACCCAGGTGCCCAACACTCAATTTTTTTTAAGATTTTTTTTATTTATTTGAGAGAGAGCACGAGTTGGCGATAGGGACACAGAGACTCCCCACTGAGCAGGGAGCCCAACATAGGGCTCAATCCCAGGCCCCCCTGATCATGACCTGAGCCAAAGGCAGATGCCTAACCGACTGAGCCACGCAGGTGCCCCACCCCCACCCCCCAAAATGGACTCTTAAATACAGAGGGCAAACTGGTGATTGCCAGAGGGAAGGTGGGTTGGGGAGTGGCTGAAATAGATAAAGGAGATTGAAAGGTACAGACTTCCAGTTGTAAAATAAATAAGTCACAGAAATGAAAAGTACAGCATAGGGAATACAGTCAATAAGATTGTAATAATGTTGTTTGGTGACAGATGGTGACTACACTTACTATAGCACATTCTGCCTTTCGAAAGCGTCATGTAAATCTTGTGCCTATGTAAGAAGAGCTTCTGAATTTGGAATTTCACATGTATTTTTCAAGGAATGGTTTCCACATTGGGATTAAGATGAAATAAGTTGTCTTTCCAAGACATTTAATTCCTTTTGTTCTCTTTTTAATCTGTAGGAGGTCTTCTCCACTTTGCCACACCCGTGGACCCTCTATTTCTGCTTCTCCACTACCTCAGAAAGGCTGATAAAGAGGTGAGTTTCCCTGTTTGGGACTTTAACAGTGAGGGAACAGAATAGATTGCTTTTTGCTTGATCTTCTCTCTCTCCTTTTAATGACCCAAATGTAGATTCCCCACAATTCAGATGTAATTTAATTTGATTCAGGTTGGTAGATTTGGTCTAGAACATGTGCTGGGATGGATTAGAGGACCAACACAGACCTGAGAACCAGCACTCATCTCTGACTAGTTTACCTGTGACTTCTGAGAATGGCCTAGGCCTCCATGCCACGTGCCTTACTTGTTTGAGAAAAAGCCTAATTATGAAAATTTTATCACTAAGTACTCATTCGTTTTGAAAATACAATACAAATGTTAAGAAACTGAAACTGACCTCAGGCCTTAAGAAAGGAAAGACTTATTTTCTTCTTTCTGTGAGACTATTAAATAGGTAAACTGGGGTGTGCCTAGTAAAAGCTCATTCATGGGGAAGCTGTACTTGAGACTTAAGGAATCCCAGTTAGATGAAAGTTACCCTTCCAGTATAAAGACAGAGTTCATTAACAGTAATCGTTTCAGCCAGAGGTTCTAAAACATTTTGGTTTCAAGATACCTTTACAATCCTGAAAATGTTTAAGGATCCCCAAAATCTTTTTGTTCCTGTGGGTTTTATCTATCAATATTTACTACATTAGAAATTAAAACCAAGAAACTTAAAAATAGTTTTGTTAATTTATTTTGAAATAAAAATAATGAGCCCATTACATGTTAACATAAATAACATGTTTTCAATGAAACACACAACAAAATTCAGTGAAGAGCATGGCACTGTTTTCCATTTTTGCAAATCTTGTTAATGTCTGGATGAATCGAAGACATCTAGATTCTCATATCTGGTTCTGCATTCAGTCTGTTTCCATGTATTGTTTCCGTGGAAGTAGATGAAGAATATGCAGCCTCACACAGATTTGTAGTCAGAAAAGGGAGGAATAGTATAATAACTCTTTCAGACAATTGCGGATATTCTTCTTTGATACTACTCTAAAAATCAACAAGGGGTAGTGATTTCTTAAAAGTTCATTGCAGTGGGGAATCTGAAACCCTGTCAATGAATTTCCCGTGCTCTGTTTACATGAAAATCCATTGGTCTGTCTTGCATTGAGAATGGATTTTTTACCCGTGTATGACTTTGTAATATCATGCATTGGTCATTTGGAAAATATTGTTTCATTGATTTCTGCAGATCTTCCAAATGTTGACACACCTCATTTCTCTCTCTCTCTCTCTCTCTCTCTCTCTCTCCCTCTCCTTTGTTAATATCACCACTGACCTCATCAGAAAACTATATTTTGGGAAGCTCTCATAGCAGCCGATACAACTTTTCTACAGTTCTAATTTTTGCTTGGAAGTTAAAATTGTATCATTGGCTGCAAGTACTTTCAGTCTTTTCCTTGAAGTCACAGGTTCACTTCTTTTATATTCTGCCAAATACCCAAGTCTGAACAGCCCTAGTCTGTAATGTTTTTTTTGGTTAAAAATGGTATCCCACAAAAAAGTAGTTATTTCTGCTCTTGACTCAGTGACGCAGGCACTTTTCCTTGTGGTAATCACTGCACCTGGGTAGCGGCAGAAGGGCTTTAGCCTCCCTTTTAACACACGGAATATTTAAAAGATTTGCACTCAGGGTCAGGGTTTAACTAACAGTAATTGTTTTTACTTCTTGATGAAGGATATCCTTAAGTGACATGGCTTTTGTTTTGTTTTTTTAACTGCCCTGCACGGCAGTGAAGAGCACAGCAGCTGTAGGACAGGTCGGTGCCATGGCCATGACTGGTGCTAAGGAGCCTGCAGTTCTACCCACCTTGGCCGTGCAAATGTCAGCACAGTGAAAATGCAGATCGCATCTTAGCATTGTTGTGAAAATAGTTTTGAGCTCTGGACCCCCTGAAAGGGTGTTGGAGACTCCCAGGCATCTACCAACCACCGTTTGAAAATCTGCAAATTAACAATTTTGAGGAATCAGTGTTATTTAAACTGCTTAGAAGAATCTGGGTTTTCGTACGCTGTTTGCTTATAGTTTAAATGTTTATGGGCTCATCTTATTTAGTCCTTAGACCAAATTTCCAAAACTTCCATACAGTGGGTGCCTCAGTTTAATTTGCTGTAAAAACCAAAAGCAATAAAACAGACTTCAAACTTTAAGTCATGCTCTCTCCAGATGCAGCTTAGCTTCTTTTATTTCCCTCCTTTCCTATATCCTCTGTCTGTTAGTGTGGATTGGTGAAGTTTTACTCCTTACTTCATTCATGGTGCTCATTATCTGGAAGCTACCATGGAGCCAGTGTATTTAAGGTGTATGAGCGGCGAGGCCAGTAAGTCTTCGTCTCTAATGAACGGAGGTGGGCTGGTCACCACCAGAAGCAAGGATCTGGTAGTATTCAGTTGAATACTTCAGTTGGCTCCATTAGTTTTCTAGGATACATTAACAGAGAGAAAGTCACCAACCGGCCTTAGCTCCTGTAATGATGCACATTTAAAGCCCCTCCCCCCATGTTGTGGGTTGTTTCCCTGTGTCCCACTGAGACCATGACTGTGGCGAATTAACCCTCACCCTGGCCCTCTGGGAGTCCTGAGGGCTGGTTCAGGTCGACAGACACAGAATGAAGCAGAAATCCTGCTCGAAGTGGTGGTTGGCTTTCATTGTAAACCATCTTACTTCTTCTTCTCAAATACTTGAAGTGCCCTATAAAATAACTCATGACATTTAGGTATTTCCTTCCCTGCATTTTACACATGATCTTTTCCTACTGAGTTAAAGAATATTGGTATGCACTTTCGAAAGGTTGACCTAGTCTTTTTTAATCTCAGAAAAATTCTTTCTAGCTATCCCAACTGTTACTAACTTTATATTCAAAGCAAGTTGCTTATTGCATTTCCTTTTTGGGTATATATGGTAAAGAAAGTGAGAATGAAATATTAGTTAATTATGAAATTATTATAACTGTGTGGCAGTCCATTGTATATAATTAGAGTATTGTTTTAAATTGCTAAATATTTAAAATATTTGTTGACCATGATAGAATATAGATTAAGGTAGATATCTAAAGACAAGAAGATTTGGAAAATCTGTGGATTATTCTTACTATCTGAAGGAAAAAGACAGCATTGAAATTGAGGCATTTCTTACCATTTGTTGACTTAACAAAGTATGACGAGCTTTCACACATGCTACTGAATGAATGAGATTTCACCCTTCAAACCAAATAAAACTGCATTTGCAGAAAGAAAACTGATCAGATGGTTTCTTTGTCTTCATGGAGTTGTCACTAAAACAGAAAAGCAGAGTGAGCTAGAAGTGGGACATGGGCAGAACCATACATTTTTTATAAAGTCCGTATCCCCAAGTCAGGGAACTAATCATTTAGACAGACTTCACCCCTCCATGCTCCTGCACAATTAAGTAAAAATAACCTGATTGAGAAGAAGAATGTTCTGAATTCCTATGTTCTGAATTCTGGCCCATTGGTTTCCAGGCCTTACATACCTCTGTAGATGAGCCTGATTTAATATGTGTGCAGCTTCCTTGTACTTATCCCTCTGGCTATCTTTTATTTTATCATGGTCTACATTTGGAAGCATTGTCAGACAGCTCTGGCAGGAGCAGATTCATTTTGGTAATTTTCTCCTTGCTGTAGTATTTCTTCCTTCAGCCCTGGGGTAAGGATAGGGAGGGAAGCTGTTTTTTCTGTGTGTGATCTGGGCTTATTCCTGAGTGATGGTCAGGACTCCTGCTCTGTGACCTCAGCTTTATATCCTTTCCCACACACTGAATGGGTTGGACCAGCCCAATGCAATCTCTACCATCTCCACAAGCTTCTATGGCTTCTAGCGCTCTTCCAGAACTCCCCCCGCACCCGTGACTGTACTTTTGATATGGGTGGTACACTGTTTGGAACCACAGTGCTTTCAAGAGCTTCCTAGAGGGAGCTGAGAGTCAGTTCTGGAGCCTATCCCAGTTGAGGGGTTCCTTAGGTGAGACAAGTGGCTTTGAACTTAGTTTAAAGATCCAGCTATGAGATGATGTATCTTTTTCTTTTTTATAATGTATGAGTTTGCTGACTGGAGTGCTTGCATTCTGACTGAAGTCTTCTTTCAGGGAAGGTTCCAGCCCCTAGAGCAAGTTGTGGTGGATGACATGTTTCCAAATTGCATCTTGTTGCTGAAACTTCCTGATCTTGAGAAGTTACTTCAACATGTGACAGAGGAAAAAGGTAGAGTATGTGGCCTTTTAAATCAGGCTTATGGCTGCTGGAAAGGCTGGGCACCTGCCCCACTGAATGGAAGGCTTGTTCTATGCCAGTCGGAAGGGAAGCTGTCATTCAGACTTGCTTCCACTCATCAGTGCTAGTCCTCTATTGCATTGGACTGTTCAGTCTTAGAAATTCTAACCAGTGGAATACAGTGGCCTATCTCCCACAAGGCCAGGGATCATGAGGCTTGGGCTTTGGTCTCAGCTCTTCTTTGAACTAAGTATGTGACTTCAGTTAAGTTCCTCGACTGCTTTCTACCTCAGATTTCTCATTGTAAAATTACATAAAGCCTATACCTTCATTGAGTCAAGAAGTGTTTATTGAGTGTCTACTAAGAAGCATATGTTGAGCACTAGAGTTAAACTAATTATAAATAAGACATTATCCTTTCCCTCAGTAAGCTTTGAGTCTATAGGGGACAAATGCAAATAGGGCAATGACAGCAGAAAGTAACAGAAGTGAACTCCTGGTTTTCTGGGGATGCACAGGACTGGTTTATAACCTCGCAGGTGGGGAGTGCAGGTAGTTGGCTATGATGTTGCTCTCCTGGGTGAAATGACCTCTAAGTGGAGCCCTGAAGGATAAGTCAGAGTAGCAGCATAACAGAGGCAAGGATATATGGGAAAGTTCATCCTGTATAGGAAGCTCTAAGGAGTTCAGGTTAGCCAGAGTATAGGATGCCAGGGATGCATTTAGGTTGGTAAGGAAGGAAAGGGGTGGGAATGCAGGGCAAGGGTTCAGATGATGAAGGGCCTGATGTGTGTCTGACTTTGTCAAATGGTAGTGGAGTGTCAGCAGAGTTTGAGCAGGGAAGAGCTATAATGTGAAAAACCTATTGGAGAATCTAAGGCCGGGTCCACGGAGGCTGCTGCAATGGTCTAGGCAGGAATGATGGTAGCCTGAGCTTAGCACCTGGAACTAGCAGAAAGTAGCCCCGAGAGGTAGAACCAGCCTCATTCGGGGTTGGGTGGTAGTCAAGAAGGAGGAGGAGTCAAGGATGACTGTTGAGTTGTGCCCTGACCCGCAGTGGGGGTGGCCTCCTGGAGACACAGGTGGGAAGAGCAGGCTGCGGGTACTGAAGAGAGGAGTAGTAGATACTATTCATTTGAATTCTGAGAGAAGGAAGTGAGGCAGTGTATGTAAGTATGTCTTGTTAAGTTAGAAACACTATACAAACTTAGCATCTGTGTCTCCAAAAAGTCATCCAGGTAGTTTCAGGGTTAATATGGACATGGAGTATGGGAACCAAAACAACAGGCTGATGAACTGTGGTTGTTCATGGTCGGTTTGGCAACCGTGACAGTTCTGAGCCCAAGAAAGTGGTGGTTCCAAGAAGTGTAAGCTTACAGTGGGAAAGGGGAGAACCTCACTGATTGCATTTTACATTTTAGGTTCAACTAAATTCACCCTTGGCCAGGCTTAGAGCTTCATTTTGGATATGGAATGTGGCACCAAGGTTTTATCAAAACAGTCCCATTAAAGACATTCCCTGATGCTGAGCTTGGAGGGGATAACAGTCTTTTTGTGGGTGAACAAATGAAGTAGCTCATAGCCATTTTTGAAAGCTTAAATAATGAGGAATAAGTACAAGTCATTTTAATTTTGCCCAGCTAACATAAATTGAAAATGCAATGAATTCATTATCCCAAATGCTTACATGAGCTGTACAAAGAACAGTTATCTTAACCCAAACCCAGAAACCCAGATTGAGAAATGGTGTTAATACGCTGGCATTTGTTAGCTTAGCCTAACAAACCTAACAAACCAGCCTGCAGTTCAAAGCAAGAACTTCCCTCCCTCTCATTCCTTCCCTCTTTCACACAGAACCCCTGACCATTGATTAAATCATTATCTGAACTCCTGTCCTAATCTCTGTCACTCCTCAACATGGCTTAACAGTTGGAAGTTCTGCTGAAATAGAAAGTGCATGGCCTGCACTTATCTTGTTTGACCAGCTCTAAATAAACTTCAAAATACTATGAATTTCCCTTTGGATCTTCATGGGAAAAGATGTCTATCTCAGTATGCTGTCCTTGCATACAGAACTGACATAAAGAAAATATTTCACATATTTGTGCTCTGGGTTAAGGGGTAAGGCAAGTAATGTGAGATTGTTTATGTGCATTTTGATAAAGAGGTCTTTTTGAGGGTGAAGCATACTTAAGAGATAGAAGAGATCCTACAATTTCTTTTTTTTTCTTGTTTTTAAAATTTTTGGTTTTGTTTTTAAACCTTTCATTATTTTAAGATTTACAGAGTGTCATTTATTAGGGGAAGAATTTAATTATGAAGAAACTGTCAAGACTTTTAGAGAAAATTGCATACATCTTTTACTATATGAAATTTAATCTGAATTATCACTTTATGTTTTGCCTTACCATCATTAAAAAAGAAAGAAAGAAAAATTTGAGGCTAAGAGTGTTTAGAAACCTGGAATGTATATAGGCTGATAACACATCTGCTTTGAAAATGAAAGTTCATGGGCCAGTAAAACAATTATTTTAGTTAAGAAAATTAAAGATACAAAAAATTCAGATAAAAAACTGCAAATATTATTTGCACTCGACCCAATAATCAACAAAGGTTTATATTTCATTATATTTGCTTCATATCTTTTTTGGGAAAGAATTTCTTTAAGAACAGTCTGGTAATCTGATCTCAGCATCTGATGGCATGCAAGGAAAATTAAAAGTATATTTGCCGTATAGTTTTGAAGAAATCAGATTTTCAGCATCCTTGGTCTGTAAGATGAAGAGTTTGAAGGGTTGAGAGTATCCCCCATACATTATAATTAGTACTTTGCAAAATTGTTCTAGATCATAAAATAAAGCTTTTATTTTCTCACCTTTATAGTGTTGAGATTATTGAATGACCGGGATGTGAACATTATTTAAATATTGCAGCTAATAGTCTCTGGTGTCTACCATAAAGAGATGCTTCTGGAATTAAATGATGTAATACAAGTAAATCAATGCCCAAAGAGTACTGGATATATAGTAAATGCTCAGTAAATGTTAGTACTATTAAGGCTTCTGAATTAGAAATTATTAATTCTTTGCTGATGTGTAAGTACTGGGCACACCCGTACGCATCTGTTTGATGGTCCATTGCTAAATATATATTGAAGTGGTTTAAGTAGAAATGGGGATAATCAGGTAATAATAAAAATATCTACTATCTAATGAGAAATTATGTATCATCTGTATTTTACATACGTTATTGTATCCTTACAGTAATTCCCTCTTGTTATTGTTACAACCTACATTTTTACAAATGAGGAGACCGAGGCTCAAAGAGGTGAAGTTACTGGACTAGCATCACAGAAGTAGAAGTGGGGAATCAGAATTGGAACCCTTGTCTGACAACCACTCTTTCCTCTCCTTCTTGCAACTGTGTAACACTTCCAGAAGACTTGGGTAGAATTGTTAGGTGGTATCTCATGCAAAGATAGAAACTTATTTTTTTAAAAAATCTTGTATATCCCATCTTCATAATTTCCCTTTGTGAGGCAAAAAGAGAGAGTCAGGAAAGAAGACAGAGAACTACGATAACGTAAGGGAAAGACAAGTTTCTCATCCCAGCAGTGAGCTTTCTGTTCTCAGGCACCCATTCCCCTCTTTTAGCGATTGCCTTGGGTCCCAGCTGCCTATTCAAATTTAGCTTACTGTCCATTTATAAGTTACTGTTTGGTTCCGCTCCATATTTTATTGCTAGGATTTTCAAATTAAACAAAGAGGACTGCTAAGGAGTGGTCAGGTGGTATCCATGAGAGGGAGCAAAGATAAAGGAGAGAGCTGATTGTCTTTAACATCCATACTCTCCATAGGCACTCTGCAGATAGAGCAAACCCTGAAATACTCAGATTCCCCAGCCAGCTGGTTTGATATTAAACTCCAGATGCTGTCTCAAAAGTCTGTGGCATTAAAGATCTGGTTAAGCCTGCTAGGTTTATGAGAACCTCCCCCTACCCACCTCATCCCTGCTGAGTAAACCCAGCCACGATTGTTTGTATCCCAAATGACGATGACCGTGACCTTAGTTAGCACTGCCTGCTTTATTAGTGAAGGAAATGATGTGTCTGTGTTTGCTAACTCTGGGGCTCAGTACGTTTCTTGCCAAAGAAGCTCACATTCAGTGGAGGGATGACAGGGGAAAGGCCTAATAAAGGGTTATGAACTTCATCTTGAGTGTAACACTGTTTCATATTGCAAGCCAAAGCTGCACTAGGCTGTCCGATGTGATTAACAGGAAGAGCCGGGAAAACTTACCTGATTAAAATACCCCAAGTACAGTTGCCAAGTTTCTATCCCCAGGAGGCAGGAAAAAAAAGAGACCATATGAGTTTCTGTTATGGAAAACATTGAGAAAGTAGATGTGAAAATGTGCTCTAGGCAGTTTGTTCAATAATACATCAGGGAAATTCAGGATTGTGAGCCGATTACCCAATTGCTGAACATGTTATTTAATTGTGGAGTCACTTTTATTCCATCTTTATTTTGTAAACCCAATCTTTCCAGATGTTTGAGACCAGTTTTATAGGCACCAGACACATTAAGGAAAGAAACCTTTCCAGCATATGTACATATTATCTAACTCACCAACTCTTGCAAATATTAAATTTAAGACACGAACAGACATGTTATGGTATTTGTCATAATTTTGGGTAATCTGTGGCCTTCATGAATATTTTGAACCCCCTTACTTATCAAAATTTGTAAATTTCAAAATTAAGCAGTAGCTCATGCACTTGGTCCTTTTGTAGCATTCTGGGATATCCAAGTTGGATATTTCTTAGTGATCATCTTGTCCAGGGACTGTTCAATTAGAAATAAATTGATAGTTAAAAATTTCCTAGGAAAAAACCTCCAGGCCCAGTTAGCATCACTGATGAATTCTGCCATACTTTAAGAAAGAAATAATACTCAAATAATGATACTTACTCAAATCCTTTCAGAAATTAGATGAGGAAGGAATATTTCCCAACTAATTTTATGAAGCCAGAATTATCCCAATACCAAAGTCAAAATTATTTTAAAAAGAAAACCAGGCCAGTATCCCTTATGATCATAGACTAAAAAATTCCTAATAAAATATTAGCAAATCAATTATGTAAAAAGGATAACATATTATAACCAAGTGGGATTTATCTCAGGAATGCAAAGTTGGTTGAACATTAGAAAATCAATCTGCATAATTCACCATATTTACACATGACAAAAGAAAAACTGCATGACGATCCCAATAGATGCAGAAAAATCATTTGACAAAATTCAGTCATAATATAAATTCTCAGCAAATTAGAATAGAAGGGAGCTTCCTTAGTCTGGAAAAGGGTGTCTATGACAAACCTAAGCTAACATCATACTTCACTGTAAAAGACTGAACAGTTTTCCCCTATGATTGGGTATAAGGTAAGCATGTCTGCTTTGACCACTTCTATTCACCATTGTAGTGGGAGTCCTAACAGTTTCAATAAAACAAGAAAAAGATAAATGGTATATAGATTGGAAAGGAAATAGTGAAACTATCTCTATTCATAAACAATATGGACATGTATGTAGAAAGCCCAAATGAGTCTACAAAAAAGTAATTACTATAACTAATAAACAGGCTAAAAAGTCAATTTATAAAAAATGAATTATATTTCTGTATACTAGCAGTGAACAATCGGACAATGGAATAAAAACATATTCAGAATATCATCAAAGATCATGAAGTCCTAGAAATAAATATAACACAGTATGTGCAAGACCAGTACACTGGATTTTACAAAACATTGCTGAGAAATTAAAGAATTAAATAAATAGATGTACCATGTTCATGAATTTGAAGATTCAATATTGTTAAGATGTCCATTCTCTCCAAACTGATCTATAGATTTAATGTAATGTCTATCAGACTTTTTTGGAGGGAGTGGGGGGAAGAAAATGATGAGCTGATTCTAGAATTAATATGAATTTGCAAAAGACCTGCAATAACCAGAACAATTTTGAAAAAGAAGAACAAAGTTGGAGAACTTACACAATCCGCTTTCAAGACTTACTCTAGAGCTATAGTAATCAAGAAAGTGTGGCATTGGTATGAGGATAAATATATAGATAAGGGAACAGAATAGAGAATCCAGAAGTGGACCCACACTTATATAGTCAATTGAATTTTTTCCATAGTCTCAAGATAATTCAGTGGGAGAAAAGATAGTCTTTTCAACAAATGATCTGGAAAAATTGGATATTCATATGAAAAACAATGTTAACCCTCACCTCACAGTCATACAGAAAAAATTAACTCAAAATGGATCACTAATTTACATGCAGAAATGGAAACTACTAAACTTCTAAAAGAAAACATAAGAGAAAACTTTTGTGACCTTGGAGATAGGCAAGGATTTCTTAGGACATAAAATCCACTAGCCATAAAAAAAAAATTATAAATGTAACCATAAATTACATTTCATCAAAATTAGTATCTTCTGTTTTTTGAAAGACACCATTAAGAAAAAAGAAAAGATAAACCACAGTTGGAAGAAAATGTTTACATGGTCTATCTGATAAAAGATATGTATCTCAAATATATAAAGAGTTTTCTTAACACAGTAATAAGATGATATACATACAACCCAGTAAAAAAAAATCGGCACAAAGTTTGAACAGACACTTAGCAACAGAAGATTTATAAATAGCCCATAGGCACACGAAAACAGGTTCAATATCATTAGTCACCAGGGAAATGTAAATTAAAACCACAAGGAAATATCATTAGTATTCACTAGAGTGGCTTGAAATAAAAAGGAAAAACAATAAGTTGAGGAACTACCGGAACTCACCTACCTGGCTGGTGGAAGCATAAAATAGTATAACCACTTGACAGTTTCTTATGACTCAGTAATTCTACTCCTAGGGATTTACCCAAGACTTATGAAAACACATCTCCATGCAAAGACTTGTGCAAGAATGTTCAGAGCAGCCTTTTTGTTTAGGGTGATAGTTACATGACCGTATGTATACATTTGTTCAAACTCCTCAAATTGTACACTTAAAATGGGTATATTAACCATATGAACATTATTCCTAAATAAAGGTGATTTAAAAAAAAAATGGAAGTAGTTACTGATCCATGAGAAGCTAAGCCTCCTCATTTCTGACATGGCATTTGTTTGTTTGTTCATTTTGTTTTGTTTTTTCCTCCCCCACGGCCCCCACCAGGTAACGCTGGAATCCAGTGATAGAATGTGGGAAGCAAGGCAGGAGGAAGTGATGGCTTTGAGATCCGAGCCTGGTTGACCGGGAGGATGGTTTGGGAGGAAGATGAACAGTCTGTCTTTAGGCACAGAGCCTCAGCTCAGGGCTTTGGGCTTCCTGGTTGGGGTTATTTGGTCTTTTTGAAACAAAATGAACTCACCCCCAGAGAAAGGTACACCTGGCCTCAGAGCAGGATGAAGCAGAGCCCAAAAAGAATCAGAGGAAAAGTCACCAGAGACCTAAAAGAACCAAGAGGAAAAGTTTTTGTAGAATCATGGAGAAGTTTTTCCCACAAAGAACAGGGTCAAAAGTACTGAGAAGGGTGAAGACCTAATTGATCTTGATAAAATGAACATCAGATCCGCAGCTCTGAAGTTAGCCTAGTAGGAGTCTGGTACCCTGCTTAATGGCTCAGTGACTTTGGACAATGTAGTTCACTTCACTCCAACCCAGTCGTTTAAGGTGGGGACAAACAGTGGTTTTCACCTGAGATTCATTCTGAACATCAGTGAGAGATGTATATAAAGAACGTACACAGGCTTGAAGATACATTAGTTTCTGATATTATCATTACCAAGTTGTCATTTAATCTTTTTTTTAAGTAATATTAAGTATTTGTTATGAGTCAGGTGCTGTGCTTTCGGCTTTGTGTGGATCATCTCGTGTAACAGGTGACACCGTGCACTGGCTGTGTCGGAGCCCCGGCAGTATGCATGGCTCAGAGCCTGTGGTCTCCACTTCTCCTGACAGAGCATTTGCAAGAGGATTAAGGAAGGGTCTGCAAGGGGCTCAGGGAGCGCGAGAGAGGAAGGAAACTGTGGCAGGTTGTAGAACGTTCTTTCAAGAAGTGTGGACATAAGAGGCAGGAGAGAAGTGAGTAAGAGTCTAGGTTGGATTTCTTAGGAGAGACCTCTACGCTGAGCTTCTTTGAAGATTTATCTCAGGCAATGAACGGAGCTTCTTTAGAAGTTTTAACCCACACAGCGGAGTACATTTATTGAGTGATTGCTGTGTGCTCTTAGAATTCCCCTTATTTTTGTACATGGGTGGGACACTGTCTCCAGGGAAGTTGAGTCTAGTCTCACCTGCCTTGGTTCCACAGCAGGCTGTTTGCCCAGGTTTGCCCCTGGCTCCCGCATAGCAGACGTCGGTCACCCCTTGGAGTTCTCAAACTCTGACAACGCCATTTGCAACAGTCTCTCCTTCATTATTCCAGTGACACATCCTGAGGGGATGGGTGCAGAAGCCCAGTCCGCACTCCATCATGCCTCCTATTGCCCACAGTTTTGACAACTGCAGTCCGGAACGGGGAGGACACATGCAGGCGCTAAGGCCAGCCCTTCTCCCATATAAACCATTTCGTGGAACGCAAGCGATGTAACAGACTGCAGAAAACGATCCCTGAATAAGCATTTCCATTTCCCGCAAAGATTATGGAGGAAAGAGAAAATGTCATTCTACCCGGGTAGCAAAGTCACATGGGGGGAGTTTGCATCTGGCCCTAAGATTTCCAGGGATCTCAAAGATCACTCCTGCATGAGGCAGGAGGCTGGGAGCTGCAAGCCTCTGCCTCTGCCGATTGCATAGAAAGCAAAAAACTCCATGAATGAAGTGTTACCAAGGAAATAACGCCTCGTGTCACAGTATGTAAAGCTAGGTGGACTGTGAGGGGAGGAAGTATAACTTAGAAGAGGTGAAAGTTTTATCCCCATTAAGGGCCAGGTCAAGCCTGTCGTAAATCCAAATTCCCCTGAGATATAGTTACGGTTATACTGGTAATGCGTTCAAAGATAGGCATATCTTTTCTTCTTTCCCGCTAATCCCACCAGGACAGTACCACGTAGTTAACAAGGTTTTTTCCCTCAATGCCTGCAGTGCACTTCATACGCATCTGTGTTTAGTTTCAGTTTCCTTTCTTGGGATTTCCATTCTTATTTTAGAAAAGAAGTCTCTCATTGAAAACACTGAGCTAAGCTTCAGGTTATTTCAAAAAAATTTAGGTTGCTTGACATGTTAATTTGCTGAGTTTTAAAAATTACAGATTTTCTACAGACTTGTTTGTGTACTTTTTTCCAGTTTTATTAAGAAGTAATTAATACACATCATTGTCTAAGTTTAAGGTGTATGGTATGATGGTTTGACTCACAGGTATTATGAAATGATCACCACAATAAGTTTAGTTAACATCTGTCATCTCATATAGATGTAATAAAAGGAAAAGAAAAATAATTTCTCCTTGGGATGATAACTTAGTAAAATTTGATGATTTCCTTAAATTCCCATTCATTTAATTTTTGGATGAAACCTGAGGCACCCAAGTTCTGTTTGGGGATTTTTTTTTTAACCTCTCAAATATGCTCTCAGGCTTATAAGTTGAGTTTTTCAAGAATATAAACTGCTATGAAACATTAATTGTTGTTGATATTTTATATGTATATATACATATCATGAATTTATTTTTTGTTTAATACACTCTTCTGTTTTTTTCTCTTTAATCCAGAAATAGACAAAAAGAAATATTACAAGTACAGCAAGGAGAAGACAATAAAGTGGCTGGAAAAAAAGGTATAGTACATCTCCAATACCTTATGGCAGAAAAAGTTTTAATGCTCCTTTTAAAAATTGTTTAGAGAAGGTGCTAAGTCTGAATCCAAAGGCCATCTTGTATATCCAGCTAAAGGAGAAAAACTGTGTAAAGATATCCAAATATGAAAAGAAATCTTTTACTTTTCATCCTCCCTAACTCATGTGTCTCTGGAGTTAGCTTGATGTTTTCCTTTGACCTGCATCCCCATTGCCCGTGATCCTCACCACTGGACAAAAGAAGTTCTCACTACTTGGTGATGTAGATTTGAGTCTTCCACGCCAGGTAGTATCAGGTGGGATGCACATTTGCTGCCGTCAGTCCTGCTGTTGTCTCAGAGGTTGACGCTGATCACATAGCAAGGCAGGGGGCTGAGGCAGACAGGATTCAGGCTTAGAGGAAGTGTGTCTCACTCTCAGCTTCTGGTTGCCTGAGGGATCTTAGTGATCCTAAAATCCTAGAATAATATAAGGTCTAGGGCAGTGTTTTCCAAATTGATTTAGTGGGTCAAAACCAGTATTTCTCTTGGAATGGAATGGAATGGGATTGGGGTGAGATGGGATGGGATGGGATGGGATGGGATGGGATGGGATGGGATATATTAAAATATAGCAGAGAGTAAGGACAAGTATTAAGTATGATTCTTTGAAACATATATTTATATATGTGTTTAAGTATTGGGTTGCTATATATTTCTTACTGTGGGCATAGTAGAAACAAACAAACAAACCACTTTGAAAGCCACTGGTCTAAGATTGTGTACTTACACACTGATTAAGAATCTCACCAGACTGGGTCTATTGATAACAAAGTTTTTCAAGGTCAGTGGATACCAGTATAGTACTGATTCCTAAGATTCTCCTCTATCTTGTATGTAAAAACATGCTTGTCATATCATGTTACGGGGCACACAGGGAACCTAGAAACATGGAAATGAACCTTGCAGAATTAGGCCCCTACTATACAAAATAGTGGAAGGATTTTAAAAGTGTCCCTGTGGTTCACCCTTCATTTGCCTTAGTAGTAGGTGAAGAATCAGGGTAAGTGCTGAGAAGGATCTTGGCATTTAGTTTTTGTCCTTAGCAAAAGATAATGTCACGAATAGCAAAGTGACGTTTATATTTATTGATTGTGTCTCTTTTCTTAAATTCCTAGGAAGTGGGAAATTTTTTTATTAACATATAATGTATTATTTGTTTCAGGGGTACAGGTCTGTGATTCATCAGTCTTACACAATTCACAGCACTCACCATAGTAAACCCTCCCTAATGTCCATCACCCAGCCACCCCATCCCTCCCACCCCCCTCCACTCCAGCAACCCTCAGTTTGTTTCCTGAGATTAAGTCTCTTATGGTTTGTCTCCCTCTCTGGTTTCATCTTGTTTCATTTTTCCCTCCCTCCCCCTATGATCTTCTGCCTTGTTTCTCAAATTCCTTATATCTGTGAGATCAT